CTGGGGCAGAGGGGCGGGCTTCTCATCGCGGGTCGCTCTCTGACGGCCCAGGGGGCTCGGCGGGAGCCCCTGGAGACCGAAAACTGCCAAAACCTCCAGCTGGGACGGCAGGGGCCCAGGGACACACAGATAAACAGACACACGTCCCAGGATGCCCCACATTCGTCCATCTTTTTGCAGGGGCTTTCGTCTGCCCCCCCATTGCCGTCCATACTTTCCCCTACTTTCCTGGGGACCGAGGAGGAGGAGGAGGAGGAGAAGGAGGAGGAGGAGAAGGAGAAGGAGGAGGAGGAGGAAGAGGAGGAGGAGGAGGAAGAGGAGGAGCAGGAGGAGGAGGAGGAGGAGGAGGAGTAGGAGAAGGAGGAGGAGAAGGAGGAGGAGGAGAGGAGGAGAAGGAGGAGGAGGAGAAGGAGGAGGAGGAGGAGGAGGAGGAGGAGGAGCGTTTCCCCTCCTGAGTGTCAGGGGCCTCCACGGGCGAGGGCTCCCAGGCTCCCACAGGCCGCCCTCTTGCTGCCTCCCGCCCCGAGGGGCGCCGGCGCTGAGCCACGGCAGGGCCCCCGAGCCACGCCAGCAGGGCACGGCCCGGTGCCTGGGCGCCCTCGCCACGGGCGATCGTCTCGGGGCCCTCGGTGAATGCAGGGGCCCAAGGACACACCGATAAATACATACATACAAACAACAGGATTCCCCAGAGGTTCGCACAGTTTCAGGGCTCTTGTCTTGCCCCCCCCACTTCCCATCTGTTCCTACATTTCCCTGGGCGTCGACGATGAATTGTGTCTGCGTTTTGTTCCCCTTCCTGATGCGCGTGCTCCCCGGAGGCCTCCCGGAGGCCTCCCGGAGGCCTCCCCGGAGGCCTCCGGGTGCTCTCGGGCGCGCTCTCCTCCCCAGTCCGCGCCTGGCCCCACGGACCACCCTCTCCACGACCCCTTCCCCCCCTCCACACCTTGCCTCCCGCCCCTCCTCGGGACTCTCCAGCTCTTCCTCCCCGCCCTCCACTCCCCCTCTCCTTCCTGCCCTACCCCCACCTTTCTCCCCAGTCTTTTACGGTTGCTCCACATGAATGCTACTCTCCTTCTCCCCTGACCCTGTGAGAAATGTCCAGCTGTCTACGAGATATTGTTATGTGAGATTATCCCCATTATTTTCCCAAGTTTCTGCTCATCACACTTCAGCTTGGAGCTTGGGCCTCATTTTAGGATTGGCGCTTTCTTTGCTCCCGTCGTTCAGAATAGCGCTCTCGCCCCAGCGATGGCCACGTTTCTGCATTCCGAGTCCTTCCTTATTGTTGTCGCCCCCCTCCTTGCCCCTCCTTCCCCTTCCCCTGGTCCTCCTGCTCCTCCCGCTCCTTCCACTGCAGCTCCTGCTCCTGCTGCCCGTCCCAGTCCTCCTCCTGCTCCTCTTCGCCCCCCTTCCCACTGCCCTGCTCCCCGCCCCCCCCCCCCTCCCCTGCTCATCCTCCTGCTCATCCGTCGACTCGTGACTCGCGACCCGTGACTGGTGGCGTCAGTGTCTTCAGACGTTGCCCCCCCCCCCCCCCCCCACGGGCTGTTGCCCCTCTGAGGGGGGGTGATCATCTTTCGGGTGCCAGGCAGCGCCCTGGCGTTCGCGCTGCCGACACCCGGTGGGCTCTCTTGTGTCGAAGGCGGTTGCGCGGAGGAGAGGGAGGCGAGGACAGGAGGGGAACAAGAGGAGAGGTGGGAGAGAGGAGGGAACGCCCTGCTCCTCCTCCTCCTCCTCTTCATCCTTTTCCTCCCTCTCCTCCCTCCCCTCCTCTCCTCCTACTCCTCCTCCTCCTCCTCCCCTCCTCCTCCTCCTCCTCCTCCTCCTCCTCCTCTCCTCCACCTCCACCTCCTCCACCTCCTCCCTCCTCCTCCTCCTGCTCCTCCCCCTCCTCCTCATTATCCTCTTCTCATCCTCCTCCTCCTCCTCTTCCGCATTCCCTCCTCCTCTTCCTCCTCCACCTCCTTCTCCTCCTCCTCCTCATCCTTTTGCTCCTCCTTCTCGTCCTCCTCCTCCTCCTCCTCCTGCTCCACCTCCTCCTCCTCCATCTCCTCCCACGTACACAGCTTGCATCTATCCCGTTGCGCATCACCCGATGGGGTCCTTTTTCGAGTCCACGGCCGCTAAGACACGCGGAGGTGGACAGCTACACAAAAATGAGCGCATGGACATGATGTCAGATATGGCGCGAGCGCACCTAACTTGCCTTGAATCCCCTCCCCCCCTCCCCTTCACAGCCCCCCTCCCGCGCCCCACCCTCCCTCCTCGTCCTTGTCTCTCCTACCTCTGCCCTCCTCCGAGTTTCTCCTCCTCCTCCTCCTCCTCCTCCGGCTCCTCCTCCCCCATGCTCCCGCCGCATCACCTCCTCTTCCCCTATTCCTCTCCCTCCTCCCTCCTCTCCCCCTGCTCCTCCTCCTCTGCCTCCTCCTCCTCCTCCTCCTCCTCCTCCACCACCTCCTCCTCCTCCTCCTCCTCCTCCTCCTCCTCCTCCTCCTCCTCCTCCTCCTCCTCCTCCTCCTCCTCCTCTGCCTCCTCCTGCTTTGTGGCGCCGAGAATCTGCTTATGTTGCCTGGCCATGATCCATTAAATTGTTGCGACTTGTGTCGATTCAGGAGTTGTACACTTGTCTAGACATGTTGAGTTTGACGTTGATACGTGTGTAAACATATAGATTTCGGAGTTGTACACTTGTCTAGACATGTTGAGTTTGACGTTGTGATATTTGTAGTAGAAATGTATGAATGATTTGTGTGGTTTCGACGTTGTGTAGTAGAAATTGTTGTGTCAGATTTGATATCAAAATCAATACTGCTGAACTTGTAGTAGAATGTTGTGTATTAGATATGAGGTTCGGTGTTGTCGTCATCATGTGTTTTGGTTTGGTGGGGTAGCCGTGTGGGTAGGGGATGAGATTGTACTATATAGTGTTAGTTTGTGATAGAATAGTGTTAGTTGGTGTTGGAATAGTAGGTAGGACAAGGGGCGGAGATGAGATGATATACCAAAGGGAGCAGGACAAGAGAATAGGGGCCGACGAAAGATGGGAGGGGGGTGAGGACGCTCTGTCTGAACCTCCCTCCTCCTCCCTCCCTCCTCCTCTCTCCCTCCCTCCCCCCGTCCCTCCTCCTCTTACCCCGTCTCGATGATGAGACCAGCCTTCCTTCTCCTCCTCCTGGCCGCCTGGCCTCACCTCCTCCTCCCCCCTCCTCCTCATCATCCGAATCCTCATCCTCAGTCTCCATACCCTCCTCCAGGGGCTCGCGAAGGGGACCTGGAGAGGAGGGAGAGAAGAGGATGAGAGGAGAGTGGGACGAGTGAGGGAGAAGGGAGTGGAACAGAACGGAACGGAAGACCCGAAGGGGATGGGTGGATGGATGGGACGCTCATTTTTTTATTTTTGGCGTGAAGTTCACGCTGCGGCGCACAGCCGCTGCGGCACAAAGGGAGTGCGATTGGGGCGGCCCACGGTCACTTAAAAGCGAAGGCGAGCCAGCCTAGACCGCAGCCAAAATGGCGCGCTAAGCTGACCTGGAGTCACTCGAGTCCCGCTGTGCCAGGCCCGTGGTGCTGTCTGGTAGGGTCTGCACTGTGTCTGGTAGGGTCTGCGCTGTGCTGCGCCGCTGCTGCGCTGCTGCGCTGTGCTGCACTGTCTGGTAGTGATAGTGGCTGCCTGCACTCGGAAGGACCGCGGACAGGTTCCAGATTCTGGATGCAGCGTCGTCGTCGTCTCGTCGCCGTCGTCGTCCGTCGTCGTCGTCGTCGTCGTCGTCGTCGTCGTCGTCGTCGTCGTCGTCACCGTCGTCGTCGTCGTCGTCGTCGTCGTCGTCGTCGTCGTCGTCCGTCGTCTAAGCCTTAAGCCCTACGGCGCTGCCCACACCTGCGGCCCCGGGCCGACGAACTGCTGGGCACCAAAACGGCGCTGCTGGCATCGCTGAGCGCTGATGGAATCGCTGGGCGCCACACTGCTGGCAACACTGGGCCCCGGGCGCCGAACTGGGCATGGCATGGCGAAGCTGCTGGCGCGCTACTTAGGAGTCGCAGTCCCTGAAGGATGCGTCTCCTCGAGAAATGTCATCGGATCAGCGAAGACGTCAGGATACTGCTCGGCGCGCTTCGCGCACCATTTGAGCCACAATTCCTGCTCCTGGTCACTGATGGTATCGGCGATCCAGCAACCCGTGCACATGAAACCTACGCCTGCCGCGAGAAAGCGCCTGCCGCGCCACACTCCATCCCACGTGGTGTTATGACAGTCGCTGCAAGTCGGCATGGAAGGCTTGCACTCGCTGCAATGGTATTTGCAACTGTTGCTCCTAGATACTGGCCAACGTCGTTGGTGGCACGTCGCGCATTTTGGCGGCTCCACAGTTGCGGGCGGCGGCATAACAGGACGGGTCTTCTCAGGCTCAGCCTTCAGGGGCTGCGGCGGCGACTCCTGAGGAGCTGACTTGGGCGCCTCTTCCTCGGGCTGTGCGGCGGCACTGTCGTCGGTCGGGGGGTGGCGTCTGCGCCGGAGAAGCGGGCGGCTGGCCGAACGTTCAGCTGCAGCAGGGCGGCGAGCTTCGCGGGGAGACGCGTCGCGCCTCGAGCGCCTAGACCTAGACCTAGCGGCAGGCTGCGACGAGCAACGGCTGACCGAGACGAGGCGGTAAGGCTCCCTTCGACGCTCTCGAGCCGCGCCTCGAGAAACGCGCCGCGCAGGGGGTGAGGGCCGCCTTCGGTCTCGCTCGCGGCGACGCTCCCGAGGCTCCTCAGTCCTGGCCGCCCTGGCCCTGGGCGCCATCTGCGCCTCGTGCTTCCTCCAGTCATCTTGGGAGCCTCCTGGCGACTTGCGGGCCCTGTCTCCACTTGCCTCCTTGGGCGGGGGATCTTGCCTGGGATCCTCGCGGTGGCGGAGGCTCGACTGATCGCTGCCAGGCCCGTGGCACATGGCTAGGTGATACTCGGCACGGGCGACGTGATAACTTCGATCTCTCTGGCCGCCCTGGCCGCTGCCC